GTAGCTTATTCATTTTAGATATGTTATCAAGTTCCTCTAGGAATCTAGTAATTATCTAGTTCCACATCTGTGAATTCCTTTCACTATCCATTGTATCTGGAGAAAGAGAGTAGAAAGACTGCAGCAGTATATTAAAGAGTGATCCCAGGAGAGACCTGGAGATCAGCTTATCCATCCGAGAGTTGGCAGCAGTGACAGAGATCTAAAAAGAGAAACAAATCTATATATATATATATGTCTGTTCCAGTAAACCCTGTTACTCTCAACAAGCATTCTTTTTGTAGCCTTCATTCTCTTAAATAGATCCTCAGTCACATTGGATCAACTGTCTACTTTTTTGATTGCCAATTTTGCCCTTTGAATAATTATGCCCCTTTGTTGTGTCCTTGTACAAATGAACTTCACTGTAATTTTTTTCCAGTTCAACAACACAAAGAGGCATTGAGTGGGAGGACGGTTAGTTGAAGCATTAAATCTTTACATTATTTTGAAGATTATCACTTTGCACAAATAAACTGGGTTAATACTTGCAAAGTAACAAGATTTTAAAAAAGTGAAAAGTTGTAGAGATTTAAATATTGGCGTAAAGATCACACAATTAAACAGACTGAGTTCGAACTTTCAACTACATATTCTCTGGGATTTACCGCATTCCCAAAACAGTTTTGTGCCAGTTAGGCACAATTTTGTCCTGTGAGCTATGCCTAACTTTAAAACTTCTTAAACATATTTCACACAGTTTTTATTTTAAAGAAACTATCAAGCATAAAGAGATTTTTGTCCAGGCTGAATTCATAGTTATTTCTCAGTGATGAAGTGACTGTACTGTAGTATCCAACTTCTTCTAATATCTAATTTGGGATGTTTTCATGATGTGAACAACGCTATACAAATTTGTTGTTGTAGTTTTGAATATTGTACTATTGAATATTATCTAATTTTCAAATCTCCCTTGAGCATTAGCCAACGAATCAAACCATTTTGTGTTAAAGTGTTATCTGGGAAATTAGGTAATGAATGAATCCCTGTTAGATAACTGTTCTCTGATACTTTTTGGCTGGTGAATTAGATAGGAAAATAAAAAGGCTTCATTTGGAGTTACAATTGGAAAATCATAATGCAAGGGGATTCAAGCCTTGTAGTCCCAATTATGACTCTCTGACTAAGCTTCAGCTATGTACAGCTCCCAACAGAATATGAGGATTAGCCCCTTCTAATACCTCAGCCCAAAATAGATATCTCACAGAACTCTAAAATGCAGTACAATGCTCTGGGGTCCCACAGCTGAAACACACACCCTCCTCCAGACACAGAGTGACTGAGTACAGCTGTCTAGAACTGTTGGTTCGTACCTTATTTGGTGTTGAATAAACAGGTGAAAGGGTGTTCCGCTAATATAATTAGTTACTATGATAAACTTGCATGTGCTATTAGCAGGCCGAGGAACCTATCTGTACTATAAAATGATTCAGTACTGTAGTTTCAAATTTCCTTTCAGTGGGGTGTCATATTTTGCTTGTTACACCAATGTTTAAATATTTGGGCAGATTGCAGGAGATCAGCATGGGAGCCACCTGTTTGTTGAATTCGAGGTTAAAAATACACATTGTGAATGGACCATAGTTATTTCAAAATGAAAGTACGAAGGATGCAAAGGTGAAGGTGCAATTTACAATATCAGGTTTGAATGAAAGAGGATTTGGTTTGGCTAATGCCATGTGGATGTGAACACAATAATTAACAGCAACAACAACAAATTACACTTGGATAGCGCCCTTCACGTCAGAAAGACATCCCAGGGCGCTGGACAATCGGGTTTTTGGACTCGAGCTGGGAGTTGGTGTCAGGAGGGGTGGAGGGCAGGGGCGGTGGGGGTGGCCAAAGGCACGGTTGAAGAGGAAGGACTTGAAGGAGGCAAGAGAGGGGGTGAGGTGAAAGGATTGTGGGATAGGGTTAACATACATTACATAACATATGTTGAAAGCATTTTGATAATATGCTGTGGTCAATTTTGCGGTATTTCTTCATGGTATTTCTTCATTAAGAAATCTGAGTGAGAACTCTTCCCAATAACGATTAGCACATATTACAGTGACTCAAGGGAGGTCCTCTTTGAAAATAGATTGCGTTGAAGCATTCCTTAGAGTCTTAGATTACCAGATTTCAAATACCCTTGAGTGTTAGATGTGAGTAGGTTTCTGCTGTCTGCCATCAGTGTGGAGACATTTCCACTCATGAGCTCCTCAAGTTCTTCACAGCTTATGAATGGATTCCAATAAAACTCTGGAGATGACTATTTAGAAATCTTCTGGCATTTCAGAGTGCTGTGGTGTTGATTGCTGATGCAGCCTGTTGACATGTAGTCTATTTGTACACATGTTGAGTTTTAGTGGCATGGATTAAGTAATAAGATGTCTTTTGTACACACTCTTCTGTGTACTTTCTGGTTCTGAATTGTGAGCCGTACGATATGGTGATTATATTGATCAGGACCCCTTGTGGAAAATGTTCATGATTGTAATCTTGTTATGGCCTTGGTTTCTTTATAGGTCAGTCTTGTATCTTGACACATGCGTAAACTCATCACTTTGCTAAAGATTATCCAAACCAGACTGAGAGTTCCTTGTATGCCACTTCCACCTACAAATGGAAACTCTCATGCTTGGAATGGAATGTGCACTCGCTCCCTGAAGGGATACTCCCTCCTTACCTAATTTTGGAAAATATAGGTGCAGGTTGGCAAGACCCAAGGCTTGGAGATCCAAGGATGAATGTTGGTGTACTCCTAGAGTTTAACCAACTAAAACCACATAGCTTGCCATTGAAAGCAATGTCTGGTAAGCTTCCTGCTGCTTGTCTAGCTTGGATCACCCACCCATTAGGGCTTTGGCTTGCATGGTTAATAGGAGCTGAATGGGACTTAATTTGTGCAGACTCTCCTGTGAGCTTTCTGACTCTGAATTGTGAGCTGTAGCACATGGTGGGACAATGCTGTGCACAAATTGGCTGCCATGTTTTCCCACAAAACATAGTCACTACACTTCACAGTATGTCCTGTGAAGCACTTTGGGTTGTCATCCTGACATTAAAGTTGCTATTCCAGACGTAATGGTTACTGTTGACTTTTGGTTCGGAGGGCACATATTTCGCCCCTTCTCAGCAGATCATGCACAGGAAGCAAATATTAACCAGAACAGAGGCCAACAACAACTTGCATTTATACTGCACCCTTCATGGAGGTTAGCGATTTGGGGGCTTAACTGTGGTGGAACTTGACTCCGTGCTGGGGGGAGGAGGGAGGTGACCTTAGGCATAGTCAAAGAGCAAGGTTTTCAGGCATGATCTCAAAATGGGAAAAGAGAGAGCAAGGCGGAGAGATTGAAGGAGAGCGTCAATGTTTGGGGGCGCAGTGGCTGAAAGCACAGCCTTCATTGGTGGAGCGAAGGGGATGAGGTACAAGCAGGAGGCCGGAGCTAGTCGGGCAGAGGCAGAGTGGGGAGAAAGCAGGACGAAAAGGTGCCAAGGTGTGAAGGGATTTATAGGCGAGCATGAGGATCTTGAAGTCAACCTGTTCCTTTATAGGTTGTCAGTGGAGCCTAGCATTGTGAAAGGGCTACAAAGTTTAGAGAGGGGTGGCGGATTTTTGAATTAATTAGATTTTGTAGATAGTTGAGCTGGGAAGACCGGAAAGAAAGGCATTGGAATAATCGAGATGAGAGATGACAAAATGGTGGATTAGGAATTCGGCTGTATTGGGTTTGAGGTAGTCAAAGGCGAGCAATGTAGTAACGGAGGTGGAAAGTGATCCTGATTAGGAAGGTGATGCCTAGATTACACGTAGGTTCAGTAAGTCTCAGGGATAGGCTGGGGAAATTGAGGATATCACAGCCGTAGGAGAGAATTTAATGAGAGCCAAGGAGTATGGCTTCTGTCTTGTCAACATTCAATGCAGGAAGTTTGCACTCGTCCAGGCCTTGATGTCAGACAAGCAGGAGGACAGAACATCAGCGGATCTGGAGTCACATCTGGAGGAGGAAAAGTAGATTTGTGTGTCATATGCATACATGTGGAAGTTGACCCCGTGTCTGTGGATGACATCACTGAGAGGTGGTGAGTGAAGCCACTCAAATGCCTCATTTCAAATTTTAACAAAACTGGACGGCTGTGGTAAATCAATTGAGTCTGGATCCCCAAATGTAATACTCAAGCTATATAGACCTCTGGAATATTGTATGCAGTTCTGTCAACGTGGCATAAGGAGTTAGCTACTCAGGCCCTAGAGGGAGTGCAGAGAAGTGTAACATGTATGATCCCTAATGTTAGAGGAATGAGGTATGAGCAACGATAAGACAAGCTAGCCTTAGTTTAGAGAGAAATCACAGTTCTATGTGTGTGTGTGTTTGTTGTAAGTTTGTATGTATGTATATATGTTTGTGTGTGAGCTTTTTTGTGTCTATGTATATTACTGTGTTCTGTGTAACTTTGTGTATGTGTATTTTGTGTATACATTTTTATGTGTAAGTTTATGATAGCAACAACAATAAAATTACATTGATATAGTGCCTTTCACGCCACAGTGGAAACCTGCTGATTCCTTTATATAACAACATTACAATATTGCTCTTTTAATTTTCAAAGCTGCATTTGAAGTCCTCCTCATTTGAACTAAAAATATTCAATGCACTTTTTATATCCCTTGGTTTTTGAAGAAGTTTTCAAGGGAACATATAACTCATTCTGGGCCTGTGCTCTGAATGTAGCCTAAGCCTGGCCCTCTACGGCTATCCCATCAAGGGGCCATGTCCATCAAATCTCTCGCTATTTAGGGCATTGTGGTACTTATCTCAGGAGCTCAGCTTGTTCTGACTCCACACTTCTCTGGATTTTTCTCCACCTTACAAATGATAACATTGAAACTCTGCTTGTACTTTGTGTGCTGTGTTTCAGTGCATGCTGCAATAACACAATAATTTGAATAGCAAGGCATTTTGTCTGTACAGGTTATCGGTGTTTGCAGCTTCAGAAGGACCCTTTCTTTATTGTGGAAGACGTGTGGTGAATCCCTGTTGACCTGGTGAGCCTGTTTTCTGCTTTCCCATTATAAGAATGAAGGCGCAGAGATAAAATATTGCGGCCATGGCTTGAAATGCATTGAATGCTGTGCAACATGATACCACCAAAAGAATAGTTTTACTTTCACGAGTGAAAATAATGGGGACGAAAATATGGGATTTCTAATAGAATTCCTTAACAAGGAATTCGACTTCCGGTATCCTGAAATATCTTGCATCGATGGCTGCTCCAAACCAATCTATTTCCAGTCGAAAGGAATGCTATCCCACACATCAGATTGCAGTATTCTCTCCGCTCTGCTCCTTGCTTTTCTTCTTTAAACAGATAATATTTTGTTTGATACACAATCTTTTCGAATCTGTAACCTAATACATGTGCTTCCACTTTAGTCTTTGTGGAATATTTTTGATCATTTTGTGGTTATGTTAAAGGTATTTTTATCTGAATATTTATTAGGGTTAAAGGAATCAGCTGAGAGCATTGTTGCCAAGCAATCTTTTAGGGTAAAATACCTAGCTACCTTTCTGAAGATTATAATATTAATAATAGAACATTACACAGAGCAAGTAAAACAAGTTATATTCCAGTAGTTATTCTTAGATTCAATTTTGCACTTTTCATGTCAGGAGGACATGTCAAACCACTTCACTTGCTGTACTATAAAGTGGAGTGACTGTGTATTTTGTCGAAGATTGCAACACAAAATACAGTCAATTCACTTTTCAGTATATTCTGTGAAGCTCTTTGAAATGTCTCAAGGACGTGATAAAGTGCTATATCAAATGCAAGTATTACTATTATAACAGAATAGTTTCAGAAAATATTGTACTTTAAACCCTGGTTATTTCCTCTTCTCTCATATCACTTATCTCTGCTGCCTTCCATGTGATTCCTTTCACCATGTCACAGAGAGATGCAGACGAAGAAGGATTTTCAGATCATTTGCTCTCATCATTGTAAAATGCCTTCAAGCTTTGTAAATCTCCCATCAAGCTGGTTCCTAAACAGTTCCATCAATGTTCTTGAAATTCTGTCTGGTCTTAACGAATAAGACCTTTTTATCTTAAATTTTAAGATTGGTTAGAATTGTGGAAAATTTTAAAGTTCAGTATTAATTCTGAAGCCAGTTTCCCACAGTTCTTATAAAGAAAACGTCAGTAATGTGATGATTCCTTTGGTATAATTTGCATGCACCATGTTTGCACACAGATGAGCAGCTTTGCTTTCTCTTTCAAATGCTGTTTACAAAGGCATTCACCATTTAAAATAGCAGCCCTTTATAATGCACTTCAATATAGCATGAATTCACCTATACTGTGGATCCTATTCATTGGAAAGTGCCCAGCGGGCCTGCTCTATTCCCATGCATTGGCCTGCTTTTCGCATTAAAATTACTGCTTTACGGCTCATTCAGTCAATGTCACATGCAGCAAAGCAAGAAGTGATGTCTGCAATCACCTAATGACCTGTAAGTCAGCCATTTCAACTGCCAGTGATAAAAACATGTCCACCTCATGGGTCATTAGGTTGACCCTGATGTCAATTTCCACCATGTGCATGCGCAGAAAACAGGATGTCTTGGGGAGAGATTGTATGGAACAGTCAGTACCCATTGTCCAGTCGTGCAGGTGACTCATGCCATGTATCTCGAAGGACATAGAATCGTATAATTTAGTCCCAATGTCGAGCAGAGCGCAAACTGGGATTTTACTGACTTGCTGGCTTCTCATGGGAACAAGGGTGAGAAATGACACCAATAATAATTACACCAATACTAAGGTAAATAATACCTAAATGTTCCCACCCCTCTACCTCTGGGAAGCAGCAAGTCAGTAAAATTTCAATTTGCACTCTGCTTGATGCTGGGACTAAATGCGACATTTAAAGAAGAATTAAAAAAAAAAGTTATACAAATTAACTAATACAAATTACACTTACATGAGGAAGTCCCAAAGCGCTTGACAATTCAGCTGGGAGCCAGAGAGGAGGGTGAGAGCCAAAAGGAGTGAAAAGGGGAAAAGTGACCAAAAGCGCGGTTGTTTTGAGGTGTACCATTATAGTAACTCAACCCAACGTAATTATAAAATGCTTGAGCTTGATTCTTACAACTTCTTAGGTGAACCCCATTGGATGGTTATTGTTTGTCATTATTCCTAGATATTCTTTATTCTCTGTACAGTGTACAATTAAACCATCCTTTAGTTTGCAATTGCTTGTCGTCAGGCTAATAGAAAGTGTATCTTTTGTAAACCTCTTGTCAGACCCATCATACTTATTTCAGTAGCAATGTCATGTATATCGTGCTAAACCTTTCTCCGCAATCACAAAGATTTAGTCCTCAACGAAAGTGCTTGGAAAATGAGCTATTTCAGGCACTTAGCCAGAGAGTGGCAGGAGACAAGTGATGGAAATCTGTGCTGATCCCATCCTGACAATAAAATCTCTTGCTTAATTGAAATCTCCTGTAAATGAAAACTCACCTCACAGTATGGATCGCCGAGTCTTAGCCCCTGCTGCCAATAGAACCACAGAGGCATGTAATAAGGAATGTTACAACTTCAGGGCTTTGCTGCAAAGCAAAATTAAGCTTTTATGCTGTGTGACTGGATGTTACATTTATGTGGCTTATTCTGGGCTCCCAACACAAGTCTTATTTTTTCCTTTTAGTAATGGTATTAATGTCTATATGAACTAGGTGGTTTGTGTTTTAAGTATGAGGAACATTCTAATACACAAATCCAGATCATTCATCAATCAAGGGAGCGGATTTGATAATAATCCTTATATTTGATATAATACTTTTCACGTCAAAAGATATCTCAAAGTACTTCACAGGATTTATTGTAAAGTGTAGTGATTGTGTAACGTGTGCCCAGTCTGTGCACGCTTGAGAGTTTGGATGAAAAGATCTGCCAAAAATAATTGGCTGGTTTGGAGCGAATGTGAAATATATATCACTCTATTCACTATAGGTTCTAAGCAGATGGACATATCTTTAGAGAGGTCTATCTGAGCAGTAGTTCTTGTAAATATTGAAGCCGATTACTAAACCAACCCCATCCAACTCCAGTGGACAGAAAATTTCCCCCAGTGCAGCATTTCCCCATTGGAATCCAGGTTGCACAGCAATCATATGGGCATCTTGTCAGAAAGGTTGTTGCCTATTATTATTATTATTATTATTAAATTTGAAGTACACTGTTAGCATCCTCACGTCAGCCACAACATGTGTGATGGTACTTTCACATTCTCTGCACACATCAGAGCTTTTTGGGGAAGGTGTGAACTGGACAAAGACAATCTACAGAGGAACAATGGATAAACATGTTACGTTCAACAGGAAAACTGAGACTGAAATATCTGACATGATTGCTGATGACCTCAGGTTGAGGACAGGATACTGACACAGCAGCTCTAAGGTTCTTTGATCTGGGATAAGTCCCTCGGTGGATCAGTCTATCCTCAGTATCCTAGTACATAGGCCAAACAACTCTTTTGAACATGTAGTCATTTCATTAGGGTCTTGTGGCTAAGCAAACTGAGAGTAGGTTTCACTAGGGTTTCCCATTATAAAAATCGAAGTAAAAAATGCTATTTTAGCTAAGTCTAAGATGATGCCGAGTCTGCCTCATTTGATAGCATTCTTGCCTCTTGAGTCAGAAGGTTGTAGGTTCAAGCCCCACATTCAGATTTTTAACTCATATGGAGTCCTGTATCTTAGTGGTTAGAGCACTTGTCTCGCAAGCGAGAGGACATGGGTTCAATTCCCGTACAGGGCAAAATGTTGGGCAAATGTCTTACTCCACACGCCTGTTTACCTACCAGTAAGTAGGAACCCGGTTGTTAGTTGATTGGCGGATCACTTTTCTGGGGATAATAGTCCCTTCAAAAAAAAATTAATAATTTGGCCATTCAATCCACGACTGTTTGTGGGACACTGCTTTGCGCAATTAGCTGCTGTGTTTCGTCCACACAATGTGCACCCAATTCACTTTATCAAGTATATTCTGTGAAGCGCTTTTAGACGTTTAGAAGATGTGATGAGGCACTATATCGAATGCAAGGAATATTATTATTATATATTAGGCTGACAATATAGTGCTGAGGGTGTTCTGTGTTTTTGGAAGTGCCATCCTTTGAATTACGCATTAAACTGAGGTCCCATTTGTCCATTCAGATGGATATTAAAAATACCATGGTGCTATTCAAAAAGAGAAGGAAGTTTCACCCAGTATCCTGGCCAACAACCCCCCCAGATAAAATTGGTAATTCACTTCATGGCTATTCATTGGATATTGCTGTATGAAAATTGGCTGCCTGTTTCACCTACAAAATGCAGTCATTACATTTTACAATAAATCCTATTAAGAGCTTTGAGATGCCCACTGAATGTGAAATATCAAATGTAAGGATTATTGTTATTTTCATTATTTACCCACTGCGCCCCCTTGCTTTGTAGTAAGGAAAGTTTGTGCGGAAGAGAAAATGTTTTAAATTCTCCCAGCAGTAAATATTAACTTTATATTTAGCAACGCTACATCCCTGGGATAGATCAGTGTCAATTATATTTGTTTTAGTCTTCTTATTCTAATTCTGGTTCACTGTGTACTTTTTTTTCCTTTTTATGTTTTAATGAATAATGTATAAATCTTTTTCTCAAGAATGACCCATGTGCTTTCAAGAGGATCTCTGGAGAGTCTACTCTTCTCATTATTGGCCAAGTATATTTCTGAAACATTCAACAATTCTGAATTTCTCCCAAAGCCTCAGCAAATTTATCTGGTGAACAACTGAAACAGATAGATCTTGGGTCAAGTCATTTTCTGTGCTGAGTTGGCTGACCTCAAAGCACGGTACAAAAGCAGGGGAGAAAGATGGGAATGATACACGGAACTCAGCACCCTGGGATACAGAGGTGAAATACAACCATGTTTGACAACCTGATTGCTGTTCAGGGATCCCTGCTTGAGATGTGTTTGTATGTGTGTGCGTATGTAGGTT